AAAAAAAACCCAGAACAACAGAACAAAACCAAACCCTTTCTCCTTCTCCAAAACTAGCCCTGCCATGTCTAAGTGAAAACCTTGCTGTTTGTATTAGGAGTCCTACAACACTATGAAACAAGAAGAATATCGTTTCTGTTCTGGAGAGGCTCCTTTCTTGCATTGTCTAAATGCTTCCCCCCGGATAACCTTTTGACTGCTAGTTAGCCACAGTTTTATTAATAGGACTTATTTCAGACTTAGTTATGTCTGACTTATCCTGCACAGTTATGTGCTTGATTGGAATACTGTGGGTTTATAAAAAAATTCCCTAAGATAGGGAGCTGTGAATGACGTTAACAGCACCAAGGGGTGCCTGCATCCTTCCTGGTGTCTCTGGGACAAAACCAACTTCACGCCATTGTTTAAGCAAAGAGGACAGCAGTGTTATGGCTACAGCTGATGCCACCAGTGACCGGGTGATGACCCCCTTAAACCAAGATTGCTAAAACAGCAGGGAAGCTGGCATAACTCTTCCCATTTGTTATGGAAAGGATTTAATTCAGGCATCTGGTGTCCTCAAAGGACGTGCAGCACAGCTCACACATCAGGGCAGGAGACAAGTGGAAAGAGATTAGCCATCAGCAGCTCTGTCTCTCACACAGCTTTGTACCAAATACCAGCACTGTGAGCCTCGGTGCTGTGGATGCTTGGCTTTCACAGGAATGTCCTTGCTTTAAAGCCTCAGTTGCTGACAGAAAAAAATGCCAGGGGAAACTCAATTCTTCTGAAGTGCCCATGTATTTCAAACAAACAAACAAACAACACCCCAAGGGAAATCATCCTTGTCTACTTGCAAGTAACTGGAGAATGTAAAGCCGTATCTGGGAAAGCAAATTCACATTAAGCCTGTGAGTAGGGTTTGCAGCATCCAGCTTTGGGCAACGAGGACTGCTCTGCTGGCTGAGCTCAGGGAGGTGTGGAGTGACGCTAGTGTGCAGCGGTGGTACAGGCAGGAGTGGGCCTGAGCATCAGAGACACCACTGGGGGCTTTCAAACCCTTGGATGCTCTTTGCAGCAGAGCTGTGAGGCAGAGCTGCCTCAGAGCATGGATACGGGGTCACTGTCTGTGGCTGCAATGCCTTGGGACTCCTTTGCCTGCTGCTTGACTTCATTTTCACAGCCTGTCCTCTGGATCCCTCCTCTGTTCTCTGGGGCAGTGACCCTGTTGTCCTTATGGACAGCTGCACCCTTGCTCTTGGTACTGGTTGGCTTTGGTTTTGTGTGCTCCGCACCGTTCTGAGGGAGAGGGGAGAGGGAAAACAAAACCCCAGCCGTCTTCAGTCTAAACATAACCCAGCGTGTGTTTCATCCATCTTCAATGATACCTTGTGGCCGGGCAAATGATGACTCGCTTTTCCCTGCAACTCCACGGTGGTATGTGCTGAGAAGGGAGAAAATAGCAGCAGCCGCCACCCACACATCTCTACAGCTTTCCTGAAAGGAAACCGTGCCCAGGTGGTAGGTCTGGTCAAACCGTCTGCCACCGCTTTGCCAGCTGTCACACACGGTTCTCCAGCTCTGGGTGGTGTTTTTATAGGGGCCATGATTAGAGGTCAGGCAGGCTCAGCCCTTCAGCTCAAACCTTCCCTTTGATCCTTCCGTGGGAATTTGCAGTCATCCTTTTTCGCTCTGGCACAGTTTCCCCTGGCCTGCAGTCTGCCAAAGGGCTAGCTCACCCTTTCTGGGTGGGACTCAGCAGATTGGAAAAGGATATTTACATCTGTACAAGTAGCCTACACTCTTTTCATCATCATTGTAGAACTGATGGATCGACCCAGTGAAAAGGAGAACATAACTCATCTTCTCCTCAAGTATAGGCCTAAAACAAGTCAAATTACACCCTGGAAGTGCCTGTTCCCTTCTGCTGGTATAAAGCGAACGTGGGGTCGCTGACACATCTAGGTGTCTACATCTAAACTGAGCTGAGCTGAATTCTCCCCAAGAGCCATCCATCATAGTGACTTAAATACGAGTTGACAGCAGCTCTGGCCTTATTTCACCCACTCTGGCTGTGATGCCTGTATAAGCTCAATGTGCAATTAGCTTCAGTCAAATTCTCAAAGCTTGATATAATTAGACACGCTGGGCATAAGGCTGCTGCTGACAATGCACCTGTATAAATGCGTTATTTGTTTCTAATTAAACTAAGGTATGTGGATTTGGGATAGGACCCAATCTAGATGATTACAGCCTTCATGACAAAGATGTACTTGGACCCCTCCGTGTGTTAGAAAAGGGAAGAACATTGCTGTTCTTTTAGGGGCTCCTTACTTGCTTTCTTTAAATGCTTCCCTGCAGACAACCTCCTGGCTGCCACTTAGGCAACTATTTTATTAATTGGATTTCATTCACTGTAAATCATGTTCGAGAATTGCCCACGAAGTGGTAATCCCCTGAATGAGCTAGTTCAGATAAGGACTGAACAGGGCAGATACAAAAATAGTGGCCTGATTTTCAACAACTGCAGGGTTAGCGTTGACTCCTGCCTTCTAAGTTCACCAGACGTTTTTCTGGTTCTTCCTTCACCTAAGCCAGAAGATGGTCGGAAATGCTATGGTAGGGAGAGATAGGCAGGGCATTGGTATGAAATACGTATAGGTGAAGGGTTGGGCCAAAGGATTAAGGCTGTTTCAGTGCTTAAATGAGGTACCTAACTGCATAATACGGTCTTTTGGCGTTTTCTAGCAAGGCAGAATAAGCCAGTAAATTCACCTGCACCAAATACCCTGTCTTCAAGACTGCCCAGCCCCCAGCTATATGCAGAAGTTGATGCAGGATACCCTGCAAGAGGGTCTGGGAATCACCTTCTCTCAGGGACATCCTCAGCCACAAATAATGGTAGATAATTAGGGCTGCCTGGAAGGAGATGCCTATCAATGCAGTGTTACTCATTGTGCAGCGACGTTCTATCAAGCTTAACAGAGTTCTGTGAAGAGGCTGTAGGATGAGCCCTGTAACTTTCTGCTGGAGAGTGAATTCCTCTTTCAATGACTTTGTTTTCCAGTTTTAAAAAAAAAAAGTGAACAATGATGGTAGTGACTATCATTGCAAAATGCTCTAAAATATGCACAAACAGCTTTGGGTTAGAAGATGGCACTTTCTTGAGGGGCAGGTGATGGAGAAGTCCAAAATTCTCATGGAGCATCTACGTTGTCAAGAGAGGGACCCTGGAATGAATTTGCAGGGTACTGTGGAGCCACGTGGTGTGACCAACAAGATATACTGCTAATTTGTGCCAGGAGGTGGCCTGCAATGAAACACCTGAAGAGCACGAGTAGAACGAATTTTGGACTGTCCAGATCTGCCCTGTAGGCTCTCATTGTGCCCTATGAATGCTAGAGCTCCTTGTGCTGCTTGGGGTATCAGGAGACAGGAATGTGTCTGGGAGCTGTCCACCAGCCCCCGGGTGGAAGAAAGAGGTTGGTGTTGTCGTGATCTGCCATGTCACAGCCGTCTTGGCTGGAGAGCTGGGCAGTTACAACAGCTCCAGCCTTTAATAGCATGAAAATCCCAACTAGATGATGAAGAGATGCATCATGTTGCATTTCTCCTTGCAACGAGGGAAGTGGGAGTTTGTGTTTGAGGTTCCCCCTACGCTTTTTCTCCACTTGGTTATTTTGCTGCCAAGGGGCAAAATATGATATTAAGTAATGACAGATGGTCAGCTTCATAAGGAAAATTTAACCCAAAATATGTGGGGTTGTTCATGTATTCAGGGGAAAAGGGTTGTGTATGTCTGCAGAAGAATATTTCCCATGGTGTGTTTTTATATACTGTTAGGTCTGTCTCAAGTGTATGCTTCGCACGTGTGCATTTGCATGTTTATGCATATCAAAATAAGGTTTCTCTTTGTTTATGAATTCACCTTAAGGG